CCCGTTTGCTCGATTCAAATCAGGGGAAAAATTGTGTCGCGCGGTACCGCGACGCCTTATATCGCAAGTGTCGAAAATCCTAGGAGAGGAAAAGTTTCTCGAAGTGCTCTAAATGGGTTGAAAACACGTTGCGTCACTATGCCTACAGGTGTCTTTTGTGTCTCGTGTGCTGTGTGTTGTTGTTTGGCTGCGTGTGACATGTATGTTGTTTGGCCGTGTGTGCCTCTCTATCTCCCTCTATGTATGTCTGTGTATGTTGTGTGTGTGTGTGTCTGTGTTGTGCGAAACGCGAAACCACGCACATAACCATCGATTCGTGGTAACATCGCATTCACGCCTCCCTCTTTCCTCTGGAACGAACGAACGAGAGAACGTTGACATTTAAACGTTTTGAACGCGTGGCCGCGTGGCTGTGATCGTTGTTGCACTATTTCGGCCCATCGGGGCGTCGAACAGTAGTCGGACTAGGAAACGTTGTTGTGCGGGAGGTGCTTTGGTTTACGCTCTCGCCGACCGTGATCGTACCGGAGATATTCAAGTCGCATATTCGGAGAGCACGTCGACGATCGCCGGTATCTTATATACGGTCTCTTTCAACGTTTTCAACAGCGAACATCCAGAAGCGATCTCTCTCTCTCTACGCGCGATCGTCGAGGGGCGGCAGCTCTCGCGCTCGACGACGATTATTATATTGTACTATCAACGAGAGAGGCTCGGCCCGTTTTTTTGCGAGCCGAGACTTCGCCGAATTCGTCGGAGCGACGTGTGTCCAGAGACCGGCGAGGCGTCGATATTCATATCGATATATTCACAATTTAAACAGAGCTTGGCGCGCGAACGCCTCGCCGGTCTTAGTACGATAAAGCTTCCTTAAAACGTAACGACCCTCCCCTCGGGGGTCGGGGGGAGGTCGTTAGAAGGCTTAGAGAAATTCTCGAAACACACGCAGTCTTTGCGAGGCGAGCCGGGGCGTATTTGCGCGCGATACTCTCCCCTTCCGGTCTGCTCTCGGACCAACGAAGAAGCTGCGACACGATCGAGGCTATCGCACGATTTTTTCGTTTCCCCGTCGATATCCGTCCACAGTTTCTCCCGATGATCGTCGACGGTCGCGAGATATTCGTTCGATTGTCCCATTCGCGGTGCGATGGAACGTCGCGCGCGCGCGCGCGTTTCGCGTTAAAAACCATAAACGGAATGATTGACAACGAGATATAATCTGGTCTCTTTTTCTTCTTTTTTTCTTTTCTTTTGTTTTGGGCCCGGTTTTTGTTTCCCCAACTGGTTCTCGCGTGGTTTGTGTTCGTTCAACGATAAGGTTCGCCTCCTCTTCTTTCTCGCGTTGGAAGAAGTGTCTCTCGGTGGATCACGTTCCGTCTTATCCGGCGGTTCAACGATTACAATATATATATAATAGCTTGCTCGCGTGTCGGCTTATAACTTCGGCCACCTAAGCTTATACATATACACCTAAACGCCGTATTCGGTGATATCGTTACAATTATATCGTGTTACGTATCGATCGAGGTGTTCGCGGACTATCGGAATAATCGTTCTCGGCCCGTGTATCCCCGGCGCTCTGGACAATAATGCGGTTCCGAACGAAAACATCGAGATGTACAGGGTGCTATCCAAAGCGATCGATTAACCTTCTCGTCGCTTTTTTCTTCTTTTTTTTTTTATTCCGGTAACCACAGAGAGAGGTTCGTACGATTTCAGGGATATTTTCATCGTCGCCCTCGCTTTCCCGCGAAACCCTCGTTTCTTCTACGCGGACGCGTACATCGATCGTTAACGATAAATCCACTGAAAGATCGACGGTTTATTCTTCTTTCGACTTTCTCGAACGCGGCGCGACGATCCTGTTTGTCGTTGTAAGAAAAAGAAACAAGCTGCCGAAATTCGGAAACCGAAACAATGGCGCCCGAAAGGGTTCGGCGTTTCCATTCCGAAGCTCTACAGTAATGTCTCCCTTACTGACGCCGAGATCGTCCACTGAAATGGACGATTTGGGAAGAGGGAGATGCGATTATTCGAGCCTTTTATAGTCGTTGACGATTCGTAACTATAAAAATGTACCGCAAGGATCGAATAATCGTGTCTCTCCTCTTCCTAAATTGTCCATTTCTGTGGACAATCTGAGCGATCGAGCAATTAGAGAGACATTACTTTTATTTCCCATTTTCACCGATACGATTGTTCGAGCCTTGCGGCTCGTTTCAACACGTTCGTCGCTCAGCGAAATTCGATTGAATTTCTCGCGGGGCCCAAATCCGACTGTTGGAGCTACTATAAATTATTATTTACTTTAACGCTAAACCTACCAAGCAGTAATACTAACTGGCACGTACCGCTTCACAAAAGCGAGAAGACCGAATTTATTTGGAATTTGTAAAGTTCTTGTAAAACCTGCTCCAATAATATAACTTATTCAAGCGTTATTTCCAAAGAAAGAGTCGCGGAACTTTTCAGAATTGCAAAATAAGAAAGCGGTCACTTTAAATTAAATATTTACTATAAATTAGTAAAAAGTATAGTATAATATGTGTATTTTTAAATTGTACGTCCTATATTTATATTTCAGTGCTTGTTCCATTTTTTATTCCTTTTAAAATCCAACTGAAAGTCCTATAAATTGAATAAGAAGATCGTCACCCATATTTGGGTGACGGGGCCACCCCACGGAAGCACATACCCGTCACCCAGATCTGACTGACGCGGCGACGAACGTGTTAAAATTGTGGACAATTTGTAACTATAAAAATAAAATAAACCGCGAGGCTTAATCGAATAATCGTATCTCCTCTCCTCAGATTGTCCATTTTTCTGCGCAATCTGGGCGCCAATTAGAGAGACATTACCGTACACGGCAGGATGGAAAAATCAATGAACCGTCGAAGGTCACCGACGAGCCGATGAACACCGCTGTACCACACGAGTGTCTATTCTATCCGCGTCGATTGGTACACACACACACGCGCACGCATACACACACACATACGCGCGCGAATGGCTGAACTTTTAAGCGAGTCAAACTGGCTGGGAAATATTTCGACAGAGAGTTTGTACAGGAACAAGTTTCCCGCCATGTCGAACGCAAAAAAAAAAATGAAAAAAAAGAAAAACGCGTGTGTCCGAGGAACGAATGAAAAACACAGACCCAGGGACTCCAAGGGAACGCGCGAACCTCGTCGTGTAATCATTTCCGTTTCTCGGCGACGTCGATCGCTGTTTTTTTCGCTGTTGGAACGCACCCTGTACACCCGTCGTCGTCATCGTCGTCGTCGCGCGACGCTAATAAGAATTAATCGAGAACATACGAACGTCACAAATAATCACCCGTGTATTTCCTTATACAGCGATTCTAATCGAGACTTGCGCGCGGCTGTTGCCCGCTATCATACACCCTCTAAGCGTCCATGCTTATCCGCAAACTTGTTCCCATCTATGAAAGATCATCTGGTTCTTGCTCGTGAAACTCCGCTCGTTTCTCGCCACGTTTTCTAACGCCCGCCCCTTTCGATTGGAATGGATTATACGCGTACTTGTAAATTATATATGTATGCACATACATATACATACATACATACATACATACATAGATAGTTAGATAGATAGATATTAATATGTATATGTATAGACGTGTATATAAAAAAGAACAAAGAAACGAAATGAAGAAGAAAACGTTGCCGGTGCCGTGTCTCCGGATGAATGTACAATCCCGCAAACAAGACGAATCGACCAACAACACGCTAAAACCGAACACGGTTACGCTGTTCGCCTAACGAGGGTCATACACTTTAAATGACACGCGTCGATTATCCGCGGTAAAAATCTGTAATATCTCGTTTCTCGGTCTCTACCTCGGTTTACCTCCCCCCCGAGAGAATAATTCGACAGATTCTTTTTATCGACCGTCCGTCGAGGACGAAACGAAAATAACCGGAAACGTTGTTCGTTATTAATATATGATCGGCCGTCCGAACGAATCAATAATTTAACACACAACGAAGAAGGAGTAACACCGCGGTACCCAATTAGTCGTTGGCTGTTAGTCGAGAACGGTTTTTTTCTTTTTTCTCATCGTCTCCGCGTCGAAGCAAGCTTCCGAGTTTCTCAGGACGAACGTGCTTCCCGCAAGCTCGAACGTTCGCGAGGAGCGTCGAGCCCTTCCCCCAAAGCATATACGGATGTTTCTTTCTTTATTTTTTGGTTTTAACGAAGCACGCGTCGAAACAACATTTTCTCATTCGATTCTCCCTTTATTTTGTCGGCCGCGCTTGGCCTCGCGCGCACAGAATTATTCTTTGTCACTTAAACGACGTGTCCCTCGCGAGTCGTTTTGTTTTTTTCTTTTTCCGTTTTCGCTTATTCGTAATGTCCGCTCTCTTCGTTCTATTTCGTTACTTAAAACCGTGTAAAATATTTTTCTTTCCCCGTTTCTTTAGGAACTTATAAATACTACTCGTGGCGCGCCGGGTCCCGACCCTGTCTGTCCCGAGGTCGCGAACGGGTCCGACGTGGATTCCCGGTTTTACTCGCCGCGATCCTAACAACAAAATCGATCAACAAGGAAACACGGGTGCGAATAAATCGTCGGGCCCCCCTTTTCGCTCTCTTTCGGCCCCGCGAGCTTCCTCACCCCCCGGGGGATCGAGGGGTGGAGCACCCAACGCGGTCGCGACTATTCTTCGCTCGAAACTATATGTCTTCGAGGGATTAGAAGTTAGGCGTTGAACGACGCCGGGGCGAGATCATGCGACGCGACGCGTTTTCGCGCGGGTTTTCGAGTGGAATGTCAGAAATTCGCTGTAAAAAGCAACGTCGTTCGAGGTGTACACCCGTGTTCCCCCCGATCGTTCCCGAAGCGCGCGGATTCTCGTCGGTGCAGGCGGGCGTTTTCGTTGAACGATCGAAAATCCTACCGTCGGACGCGAAACGGCCGTGAGAAACGGTTACCGGAAGAGGGGACCCCGTCGTCGGGACTGGCACCCACTACGATAGTTAGACCGGGCTATCTCGTCGAAAGACAGTCTCCATCCGTCGTCAGTTAGTCAACACGCATGACGAACACTTTCGCACGATAGATCTTCTAAAAGCGCCACTAAACGATTTATTTTTAGTTTTATTTGTTTTCGTAGGAATTACGTGTTCCGCCTTTTATATTCGTTCCCCCTAATACGCGGGACTTCGTCATCTCGACACCTTAACCCCCAACCCTTTTCTTACCTTTTTTTTCTTTTCTCTCTCTCTCTCCCTCTCTCTCTCTCTATTTCGTTAGTTACTCTCTGTAAACGCACGCTTGTTCCCTTTTTTTCTTTTGTTTTTGTTATCCCCCCTCTCTTTCGGCCGCCTTTATCCCGAGCACCCATTCTAAGATTTCACGTTTTATCACAGATGTTTTGTTCTCGATTTATCGTCGCCCGTTGCACCTAATACAGCCGAACCCGTTCTTAGATCCAAGCAGGGACGATCTTAAATAATGCTTCTTTTTTTTATTTTGTCTCCCCCTGTTGTTCCCCGCGCGAACGAACGAACAAACTTCGGTTTACCTCAGCGAAGATATGCTTCTTGCATTCTTTTCACGTTTGCTCTTTCTCTCTCTCTCTCTCTCGCTCATTCTCACACACCTCTCGCAGATATTTCGTTACGATTTCTCGCTGAAAGCCGACGCGAATATCACGGATCTTCACAGCACGGTCGTCTTCGTTCCTCTCGGTCTTTGCCGCCGCGAGTGCGCGCGCGCGCGCGCTCAACAATTACAACACGACTCACACTAAGGCCTGCCTTAGTACAAAAATATACATTCGCTTCTTAAAAAATAGATCTTAGCATTCTGTACTGGCTAGCGTTCGTTTGATATTATACAGTTATTTTGATTCTTGGCAGGCTGGCTTACATGGTTAGTTATTAATCGGCTACGAGAATTCGCTGTCGAGCGAGCGTTTCATTTTGTCTTACTTATTTCGCAGGTTTTGTTAATTCTCTCTCTCTCTCTCTCTATCTCTCTCTCTCCGTGAAACGGGGGCGTTTGAGTTCCGATCTAAAAAAAAACACTAGCTGGTGTGCACCATCATCATCCCTTCCTTATTGAAACTCTTATTAACCCTTTTTCTTTCTTTCTTTCGTTTGTTCGAGGTGCACGACGCGCGCATATTCATAAATTGGTGTTCGCATGGCGCATTGTATCGGGGCGGCGAATCGACGAGGGCCGCCGAGCTAAGACGGAAAGCTGGTCAAAAACAACGGTGTTGAAGAGAGGAGAGACACCCGTCGGCCGTACACGATTTTTTTGTCCGACCGACCAAACGAAGCGCCATTTTTTTCTTTTTTCTTTTACTTTCGCATGATTTTCGTTCACTTCGAGTTTTTCTCCGGGATCGACGACGCGACGGTGCGCGGGCCGCGGCTGTGCTACGATACAACACGGATATCGAACCTTCGAATTTGCCATGTGATTTTCTTTTTCGCGAACGATATTTTTTTGTCATGCTTTCCGTTTAGTCGGGATCGTCCGGTGCTTTATGAATATGACGGTCGGACAGAGGCGCGTGCAGCAAACCGCCCCAACCTGGTGTATATATACCTTTCTCGGCAGGTTCAGTCTTATGCTTGGTTTGTCATCGCGTTTAATTCGATATTATACGTGTAGTAGTGTTGGCTTGTGCCCGTACGGCTAAGGCGGCGGCTGCACGGCCCGCGCCTTTCTTTCGCTTTTATTTATTTATTTTTTTTTTCTTTTAGTATTCTCGCTTCATTCTACGACTTTGTACAGAGGATTCGCAGAGATGGTACTACGTATCATCTGAATAACATTTAACGCGATTCATCATTACTCTCTCGCTCTTTCTCTCTCTCCTTTTTTTAAACTCGTTTTGTTCTGCTTCTATTTACCCGCTGGATATCTAATACATGTATCCCATCGCATATCGTTTCTCCTGATTTTTGTTTGTTGCTTTAATAATCCGTTCTCTCTAATACGTTTCCGTTTCGCAACGTCGCGTATATTCATATATGTTCTTTCACACTGTTCTCTCTTTTACTCTATATTTTTTTTCTCTATAGTTCGCTTTCTTTCTTTCTTTCTCTCGCTCTTCAGACTCACAACGCCGGGCACCGTTGCGCCCGCGAGTAATCTGCTTATGCGGGACCTTCGTTCGATAAAAAATAAACAAACAAACAAAAAATAAACACGCACAAAGAAAAATAATATTAATAATAATAATAATAATAATAATAATATTAATAAAAAAGATTCTTAGTAAATAAAATCTGGCCCGTCCACGCAACGTCAATATAGTCAACGAACAAGCAACAACAACAACCGTGGTATTTCGTGTTTTGCTTCTTTTTCCCCGTTTGTTCGCGAAACGAAATATAGTTCGTGATAACAAGGAACAATATAACAGACGGTCTCCTTTTTTCCGTTATAGAGAATTTACTCTCTCTGACCCTGAAAACAATACGCGTGCACGGAATACGAAATGAAAGGGCGCCGAGAATACCTTAAACCCGTCAGTCATTTTTTGGCGAGAAACCGGCAGGGTGTTTCTAGCGAATCGCCGACAAAATGGTTATTAAGGTGTCTACGATTATATTTCATTAATGGTGGCTGTCGCGTGTCAGATTTTTTATTCTCCTTTTTTCTCTCGCTCTCTCTCTCGTTCTCTCTCTTTTTCTCGCGCTCGATCTCTCTTTCGCTCTCGATAAATTTATCCTTACCGCGACTCAGGTACATATTAAGGCCCGTTCATCTTGTATAACAGCATAAATCGTTTAAAAAGAAATAGTTATCCTCGTATTTGTGCCTAGCTCACAATCGAACCTCCCTATTACATCTGTTTCCCATTTTTTTCATTTTATTCATCGTTCAAATTAAACAGCTATATATTACTTCGTTCCTCACCCTTCATCTATCCCCTAAATCTCACCTCCCCCTCCTCCTCCTCTTTTCACTTATGCATCATATTAAATTTGCAGGCGCAACTTCGCGATCTTTTGCGCATGTCCAATACTTTTTCCCGTTTCACCCTTACTCGCCTTTTCTCTCTCTCATTCTTTCTATCTCATACTCTCTCTCTCTTTCTCGCTCTCTCTCTCTCATTAAACGCATGAATGTATGTACAGAACCACATATAAAAAACAATGGTATACGTGTGACTACAAGTACGATACACGACGATGTAATATAATAATTATACAAGGGCTCGAAAAAAAGTAAATAACCTCTCAGAATAATAAACTGTATACGCTTGTGTTCTTGTTTGTTGTTTTGGTATTTTTTCTTTGTGTTTGTGGATCATCCTTTTTGTTTTTTGTTGTTTTTCTTTTTACATGCTCGAAAATCGTCATCATTAATCGCACGACAGAAATAGATGCACGGCGGCATCCGAAATATTTAATGTTTAAAGTTCGACAGATAATACAGATATACATACATATACACATACACGATTAGCAGCTAATTCCTCTCTGACTCTCTTCTTTTTTTTTTTCTTCGTGAATAGATAACTATACTTTTGTGTTCGTGTGTTAGCGGTCGCTAAGAGCACGGTGAAGAGACGGTACATTTCACGGAGGTCGCGGAATTCTCTCGAGGTATTTAAACATCGTTCGCCTCCCCGTAATGCAAGACAACTACTAATTCACTATTGTGCAAACTATGTTTGTTTTCGTTTTTTTTTGTTCGCTTTCGTCGTACCACCAAATCGACCGCACTCTTCTCGGCACACATTCATTTTTCCTATTTGTACAAGAGCGTCCGATTGGTTTTGGTATTAAAAATAACCTCGGATCGCTATTTAACGACTTTTCTCAATGAGACACAACAAGTTCTTTCTCGCGAAGTCGTATTCTTTTTTTTTTTCTTCAGTTATTCATTCTCACACTGCATGCTCTTGGCGCTCGCTTGATCTAGGTTCCCATAGACTTGGAAAAATATTTGTTAAAGAAGTTTCTACTTACATACATGTGGAATTTCGTTACGCTTTCCAGTGGAACATCATGAACATCGGCCAGTGTTTCCTTTCCATCCATCTTTTTTTTTTTGTTCTTTTTTTTCTCGTAGTTTCAAATTCTCCATTCGATTCGTGCACAATGATCACCTCTCGTAGCGGTGTGCGTTCCTATCACTTTTTTTTTCTCGTACATTTCACTTTTCCTGTGATATTAACAGGAAAACGTCACACAAAAGGTCTGCGTAGGAAGACCTTGATCGTCTTGTAATGCTTGATTCTTAGCATCTACCAAGAATACTGTTACATCTTTATATAATATATATACGTTCTTTCCTGGTAGTATTCATTGGCGAGAGGAACAATCATTAACAAATATACTTTGCTCTTGCGGTATGCTCCTTCACAAAAAGTTTCTCATAAGAAAAATCATCATACATCGTTTTATTCTCCAATTTGATAGACGGGGAGAGATCATCTCGTTCATAGGAGTGTTTCATACGTAATTTAGGTACTTCCTCACGGACTCAAGAAAGACATGGTTAACTATGGCTTATCATATTCACAAACGAACTGATAACATCTTTGTAAAACAGGAGAACTTATGTGCGTTTTATAGCCCCGCTATTTACACACTGGAACTGTGTGATCCTTCCAGACATTGTAACCATTCGGTTCTCGATTTTGGTGTTACGAGTCTACACATGTTCGCTTTATGATGTTTCGTCTGTAGTTCCCATAAAAAAGCAAATCGTATAGAAAAATAAAGAATATAACATTGTAACTTCACTTCTGAGATTGTGGCTCGCCCAGAAATAGGTGGAGATGTCGATGATTGATACTGGGGAGTGATCGTTCCTTAATTCATGTTCAATGATTTTGATTACTTTTGGTCACGGAGGACCAACGGCATGATCACGTCTCTGCTATCGCCTTTGAATGGATTTTTAACAACCGCGGGTAAATCGGCATCACTTAACTGTTCCCAAGGTTGACCTATGATTTCTTGTATCTCCTGTATGGATAAAACGGTGAAAAATATCATACGGAATAAAACATGCTACCATAAATCCCAATATAAAATGTGGCAACTTACGTCTGTGATGCTTTCAGCCTTGTGCCATGTATCATTGTAGGATGCAATGTCTCTTCGTGCAAACACTAATGATTTAAGGGAACATCCCCGTAGTCGTGCGATAGCCAACAAGTTTTCTTGGTAGTATTTGTGACCGATGAACACAATCTCCACAAGTTTAGTACATTTCCATGCAATAAATACTAATGAATCAGGGCTGCAGTAAAATATGGTTATAAATGGTTGATCCGATAGATCGAAGCTAAAACTACGATAAAAATATTATGGCTTACCTGTCGGGCTCGGTTGGATCACATGTTGCTGGTATAACTCTTCTAGGGTCCATAGAATCAATCCATATCAAAGATTTTAAAGTAAGATAATACCAACTGGATAGCACCAGCAGCGCTCTAGTGTTAACATTTTCACAGAATAGAACTTTCAGATGTGTGAGGGGCATAGAACGACGAAGTATGTCCGAATGCAGCATTTCAATGCCAACGTAGGAGTGTATAAGATTTAGCCGTAACTCGCATTTTGGGCTAAAAGAAAATTTCGATTATTTTTTTACACATATTTATAGAATAATAATAGTTGAACTATATGAATACCTACTTTTTCTGAACAAATATTTGCCATGCCATTTCACTTGTTCCCGCATAATTCTCATTCCAGCCATGCACATGAATTACAAGCCTCTCCATGACTCCGTTATCTAACGCTTTCAGCAGTGTGTCGCTTATAAACTCATAATCCAGTGTCAAAATAGATAATCTGATGAATGAGTTAAAAAAAAGTTCGTAATCGAATCCAAGCTCGCAGAAATTATAATCGGGATCATCTCTAACAGATGCCAGACTAAGCGTTGTCAAGTGCTTGGCATGGTTCATGCGAAGTGGTTGTAGAAGTACACCAGCACTGGCTGTTAATTCCTCCATGCATCCCAAGCTCAAAGCTTCCAAATGATTGGCTGTTTCAATGATTTTTATAATGGGCTTTATCAATGGTGTCGCATATCCATTAATATCCTCGTCGTTTTCGTATTCAAAGGAGCTACTGCTGGATTCTAGAAATAATTTACGAAGCTGTCTGTTACAACTTAATTTCTTTAAAATGGCTAAAGTCTCGTTGGCAGAATGATTTGGTGTGTCACAGCATATGGTGGCTTCGTGCACACTGAATCCAAAGCTTTCCGCCAGAAATCTGTAATAAGAAGGACGTATAAAAGAAAGAACGCAAAATTCCAGTTGGAGGTAACAATCTTACATACCGAGCCCATAGAATGCTGTCTTCATGTCCAAGGGCGAATGTGATTTTTTTCCAGAAACTAGGATGAAACAAAGCATACCTCCAATTTTTACAAACCTGCGCAAATTACAGTCAAACGAATTATTTTTACCCGTTAACCCTGCTTTGTTGAAAGTCGCGTTCAGCATGACACTGATTAAAATAGACATCCGAGAGGTAAACAAAGAACAACTACATAGTGTGCCGCGAGCAAAATAATAACGGACACGACGAGCGGTTCGTGTACACGATCAGAGAGAATCTCGAGAAAGCAGAAAACGTATCTGGACATGGCAGTTTGATTACCCACTGTGTCAGGTCGGAGTTTAAACGGCCTTGAAAGTGGCGAACAAACATGTTCAGAATACCTGAGAGGCTCTCAACCGGCTGTTGTGTGGTAAATACGAGAATATCTCCTGCAAGATGACACTGGGCAGGTTATTCCAGCACGGATTATAGTCCTCTTGCGCCATTTCTGTCGTACGATTTGCAGCTCTGTAGCACGAACAGCTGTTTGACTTCGTCGAAGACAGCTGCTCCTCGCACTTTCTTGACATCGCCTTCTCTGTCGCATCACTCTCCACCGAATTTGTTAACTCTTCCGAATATACAACACCCCCATTTATAACGCGTATCATGTTTTTGACCAGTGCCTGATGACCTATATCCTGAACTTTCCCCGCAAATCCTTCGAGCCACGGCCACCCGTTTTCTTCGAGGCGAGTCTCCTCCGCGAATCAAAATAAGAACCTCGACAGTGTACTGCGTCCAACTCGTAACGTCCAACTACTCCAACTGTCGTTCCGCGTACGCTTATACGCATGGTGCGCGTCAAATTCTTCTCTCCCATTGGTGTAGCCCACGTACATATGTATGCATGTATATATGCATATGTCAGTTCTCTATGTATGTATATCTCGCAACGTCTCGACAATGTTAAGGTTATATTTATTTATATTATTTATTTGTATTATTTATTATATATATATATATATATTTCTCCGAGGCATCGTTAACGAGTTATTAACGAAAAACAGTGATCAATGAGAGGCGAGCTCGGCTGACGCGGGCGGCCCAGCCAACCAGCGCACGAAGGCCAGTTCCGCCTATTGGTTCGGTCGCCTCGCGCCAGCCTCTCATTGGTCACTGTTTTTCGTTGATAACTCGTTAACGGTGCCTCGGAGAAATATATATAATAAATAATATAAATATATATATATAATAAATAATATAAATAAATATATATAATAAATAATATAAATAAATAATATAGATAAATAATATAAATAAATATAACTTTAACATTGTCGAAACGTTGCCTCGGAGAAAATTGTTGTAAAGGAGAAAGTTGCTTCGAATGATCTGAGGAGCTCACCATTTTCGGATTGCGAGACATTTTTGGGACAGTTCCTGCAATATAACCTTAACAGTTCCTGCAGCGCTATAAATGTAATTTATAGGTATAGGCAACAGTTGGTGCTAATGAATTCAAAAGAGTGTAGTAAACGCTGTCAGTTTATTATATACTCATAAATGTAAAATATAATAATTGTGATTATCGAAGAGTACGCATCTGACAAGTTGTTTCTATGATGTTCATATACGTATAAATATGTATATATGTCACGACACTACGTGGAATTGTTACAGAATACGTATGATGCTTGTTAATCGGTCCATTTTATTGATCATATGTAATCCTGTTTGAGTTTTAAAAAATATTGACACGCTCAATCGCTGCTAGCGCAAACGCTGAAAATACCGAGGCGTAATCTTCAAGTAGAGCACGAAATAAATTTAAACGCATATACAATATCTATATATATTACATATATACGTATATACATATATGATGCCACATTGTTGATATTCTACGAACTATATTTAACCATCATGCGAAGATCTTTTCATCTGTATGTACATTCAGTGCTCACGAGGATACCGCGAAACAGCTGTTACAGTCAAAACGATTTAAAATATGTAGTAGTGGCATAAGCCGGGTAACATGGAGCCGCGATAAAATATCAACGTAGTATTAGTGTCGCGCTGTTTTCCTCCTTCGAATTTTGTTTCACAAATGTCACAGAACAATGACGCGCTCGAGGATTCAGATGATAAAATTTTTTGTATTTCTGTTGATCTTCTTAACCGCACAGAGCACAGTATGCGATGGAAGATTTAGGATAAATAGGGATGCACCTGGACCGACGTTAGTAGAAAAAAGTGGTAATAGCACCCACAAGAATGTTAACACGCACACTCCGCTAATCGGACAAAAAAAGGAGCACCAAAATACAGTATTAATTGGACAAATTCCGACAAATTCCGAGAATAATAAAACGTCGAACGGTATAACCTCAAAATCATCGACAGATAACAAAACTATCAATACCACAGAACCACGAAGAGAGGTTAGTGCCTGAACTTGAACTTGATTTACTTGAGAAAGTAACTGTTTCATTGTACTGCGATCTTGTTTGAGAAATTAAGTATCCCTATTGAAATATGCTTTTCTAATCTATCTGAAAGTTACACAAAATCATATTATTTACAATTGCTGTAATGATTATCAATAATGCAATTTTTGTTACCAGCATAAAGAAATAGGACATTTGACTACCTTAAATGCTGGAGCTTTGAAGCGTGGTCTTTATGTGTTTATTGGCCTAAGTGTTCTTGTCGTGGCCTATATCATGTTCCGTAATGTTAGGTATATAACATCTATTAAAAGTTTTAATTTTATTAAATCATATTTATAACTAAAACCGCTAAAAACTCTAAAGCTTGGATGTATAAACAATTTCAGAATAATGTGGATAAATAATGTAAATTATTTAACAGGTTAAGTAAAACACGTGCCCAAATGGTCAGAAAGTACGGTGTTCTTGCAAACAGACAAGACGTTGAAATGAGACCATTGCCATTGGATGAGGAGGATGATGAGGATACGACTGTCTTCGATGCTAGTAATATTCACTCTAACAACATTCAACATCAGAATTTATAAAAGTAATCAACATAAAATAAGTTGGTTATAATACGATATAAATTCTTATTTAAGTAACGAATTTTTTCGTGAATATGGGGTTAACACAGAAGTTCAAACTGTGCATCATGAAGACATTGCACAGAGAAACAATTTCTAATATTTTTCCATGTAAAACTGCTTGCTTGCATATGACAAATTCTAATATAAAATATGCATTAAACGGTGCACTTATCCTTACAAATTATGCTTTCCAGCAATAGGTGTACTTGTCAGAAAGAAGGAGATATTTATATGAAATATCTCCAATTCCTTAACATAAGTAAGTGATAAAAGAAAACTTGAAACAACCATTGTTTATTAATAAATAAATGATGTCGGTTTATATCTCTTATACAAATATTATATTTTGATTAGACTATGTTGTTATAATTGAAATTATACAAATACAGATTGTCTCTATTTTATTTAATGCTACACATTTAATAAACATTATGTAAAAAATACATGCGTCTAAATGCTTTTGTAAAATATAAGATTATTTTTAGCAAAGTTATAAGAATTTGTTTTCAACCGCATGGACAAAAATATTGGCTAGTCTAAGCCTGCCATCTTTTGTTTTGATGTTCGATAGTGTCCATACATCATCAATATTTACTGCATTATCATCTTTTATGATGGCATCCAGATCAAATGCCTCGGAATTATCTAATAAACTGAATGGAATCATTTCTAGTGAAAATGTTGCACCAAGCATAAATTGTTCTTGTACCTGTAATAATTTTATTTTAGTTTTAATAGTTTTCTGACGAATATTAAGCTAAAAGATTGGCAAAAATATCATTATACTTTACTTCATTCATAAATGTATCCCATGGATACAACTTTTCAGGATCTGATCCAAGCAAACTGATGGAGATTGAAAGTTCATTGTGATAGTCCCTTAAAAATGTTTCAAAGTGTTCGTCCCAAAGGCTTTTGTCTGTACATCCATAAATAAACATTGATACATCTAAGACTGGACTACTACATCTTGCTAATTGGAAGTCAAGCATCAAGGCTTTATTTCCATCAATATCTTGAGCTAGAAAGTTTGGAATCCAGCAATCACCGTGACTTATGACAGATGTTGGTTCATGTGTGCGACGAGTGCAAAATTCAATACCCTTTTCGTATAGGGCACCAAATTCATAAGATTTCAATCGTTTTTCTGCTTCACTATCAGGGTATTCCATTTCCAAAGCATTTATAGCAATGTTTAATACTCTTTTCTACAAGGTAAGTGAATTATAAAGAACTGGATTTTGTTTATCAAAATTAATGTTGCATGCCATTATAACATAGTAGCAGTAATATTCATCTTACATGAAAACGTTTATACCAATCCCAGTGTTCATCGCTTATATACGTTTCCTTCAAATTATCTACAAGTTTATTGAATTCTTCCTTCTTTTGATCTTTATATGCAAAAGAAATTGCATGAAATCTTGCCACAGCTTTTAAAATCATAATACATTGAGACAGATTTACACAATTCTGTCTACATATGGGTTTATATCCTAAAGGAGTTACGTCTTCCAGAGCTATATAATCGTTGACACCATCCATAACAGAAGCTAAGTGACGTGGGACACATAATAATTCGCTTTGTCCTTTAACATTAAGAAACTCTTCGAATTCTTTGAAAATCTTAAAAGAGAGAATTTCTACACAATCTTATCTTTTTCAAAAAAGTGATAAAATAGTTACCTTTGTATATATGAGAATTTCATTCCTGAAAAATTCTGTACTCCTGTATGTGTTCCTTCTACCTATGTTTTGTGGCAAAGATTTCACAACTATCTTAACTTCTATTTCTTTGCCATCAACGTTGCCAACAATTTTAACTTTATTAACAGTCGACAAATAGCTATCACCTTTGGAATTTGCTTCATCAAAACACCAATTTAAATTATCCACCTTTTGTCCTTTGTGTACCTTAAGTACAATTTCTTTTAACGTCTCTTCCGTAAACTTTTCACTTACTTCTTTCAATTTTCCATAATCCTTTGCCATGATTTACAAGATTTCAAATCTTTGTATGTTCACTTTAAATTTTGAAATTTTGTTTATCTTTTTATTCGATGTGGAACGGTTAACGCGAACTAACTTATTCCCGAGATAGACTCCTATTTATTAAGACCTTATCATGCATTTAATCTTCAGCTGTCTTGATTTTGAAAGATTATTATCAATTTGAGTCAATACAAAATTTTTTACACTTTTTTATCAGCGTAATCGCGAAATTCAGGATTACTTCTGAAAAAATTTTTTGAAATTTTCCGAATGCAGAATAAATCGAATATAAATCGCAGTACGTCTAAACGTTTAGATTACACGTTGACGTGGTTTTACTCAACTACTACGTAACAGTAAATGCCACGTTGGCACTTTGAACATAATTAATAACAATATCATATTAAGATTTTGATATATAAACATATATATATTTAATATTATATGTATATAATATTAAATATAATAATTGTCGTACTTCAATTAACTATATAAATTCCAGAGTAAGACTTTGGTATTAATTTAATAAAAATAATATTAAGATCAATGGTATTAAACCAAATGTATAAATTTCTTTGGTGTGAAATTTATAAATTCAAATATATATTGAAGTACATATAAACAATGATTAAAACATTTCATTAATAATGTTCCTACTAGTGTAGGGTATTTGCGTTCGAAAAATGTCAAAGAAAGCTCCAAATGTCAAGTTCCAATTTCTGTAAATAAGATTATGCACTTAGTACTGTATAATTATTTCAACAATTGCTAAATATCATGTATTTTATCTGTTTAACACATTGTTGACCGGCAATTTTGCAAACGTTTGAGCATAAAAACGCAAGGTAACCCATGACGTCAGCAATGTGTTGAAGTTGGTAGGATTGAATTTAAAATGGCGCGATTTACGGAATTCTTTTCTTGCATTTAAATGTAAAAAAATATTTCGATACGTATTGTTCTTCTTAAAATTTGTATCCCCTTTGTACAGTATTGTGGAATATAATTGCCGAAGCTACAAATATACATCAGAATAAACAAAAATTACGATTATTTATATATTGTCCGTATATTGTTCCTTCCAGGATATTCTAATAATAAAATATAAATTTAGAAATTTTCCAAAATCCTTATTCAGCGTAGTACGTTTCGCAGAAACGACACAACGATAGGGTATCAGACACTTTATCAATACAATACCTAGAAACTTGAAAAGTATCTTGCTCGAATGATTACCGTCGTTATGTAATAATGCAATTGAGGAAAAAACAATCGGTGCGTGAAAAATGATACAAGACATATCGCGACACTTTTGCATCCTGTATCGTAATAAAAACCGTGCTGAAAAATTCGCTTCTGTATCCAATAACTCAAAAATATTCGAAGCTCTCGAAAGGAGTGATTCCTGAGGTAACTCGAAGTAACCTTTTCCTTTGCGAAAATGTTGATAATAGCTATGTTAACGAGTTATTAGCAAAAACATGAACCAGTCAGAGAGAGAAAGAGAGAGAGAGAACATAGCCTACGAATTCTGGTGCGACGGCGCGTTATGCCTGACACAGTGTGAGCTTTGTGCTGAGCTCGAGGCTTGTACAAGTCTGCAATTAATACGAAATTAATAGAGGACTCACCCATTTAGTTAGAAATCCACTTGCTGCACCAAAATGTATGTCACAGATATTGGACAGTATCAAATGGTAGATAACGTATAAGCATGTCACTCGCTGTGTTATCTGTCAAGCGAAAGACTCAGTCGAATGTTTCTTGTTATTATTAATTATTTATTAATTATATATAATTATTTATTAATTATTTTTATTTAATATCAAACAACAGTTTCGCATACGTCGACTTAATCAACCTCGAGCTCGGTACGAAGCCAACACTACGGCAAGCGTAGACCGCCGTCGCGCCAGAATTCTTCGATCGTACACGCTTTCTAATTGGTCCGTGTTTTCCGTTAATAACTCATTAACGAAGCCGCGTAGAACACTTTCGTAAAGGAAATAGTTACATCGAATCGCTATTATAGCCCTATCAAGGGCTTGGAACGTTTTTAGGACACCCTGTAGATCTTTCGGACGGGAGAGTACACCGCGCATGCGCGGTGGGAGGCTCACGGGGACGGACGTAGAGGACGTACGCGGAGAGCACAGCGCCGGGGAGCGAAAAGGAAGGAACGAGCGTCGAGAAAGTAAGAGCGATCCGCGCGCAGAAAATTAAGCAGAAGACAGTGGCAGCCATTTTTCCTGACATTGCCGTTCCTGCGGCACCGCGGTGCTAATTGCCGTCGATTCTCGGCCGGATCACGAACAGACATCTCGGGCAGCAGAGGGAACGGTGTCGTAGACGGGGCCACGGGGTGTTATTGGTGCGCACCGAGATTAGAACGGCGCGAGATAACGATAAGAGAGAATTCAGACGTCAATGGTACGGCGTGGTTCGGAGTGACGAGTGCGTGTGTAAACGATTCGCCAGAGAGTAGTGGGGCTCGACCGTAGTTGGCTGAGTGGACAGCCGAAAAGGAGGAGCTGCCGACAACGGGAAGGGTGTTACAGGAGGCGACAGCGACGGTGACGACAACGACGACGACGAACACGACGGTAACGACGGCCACGATACGACGGCGGCAACGATCGCGGAAACGGAGCTACGGCAGCCCAGCCTAGGCGCCCTTATTTTGCGGTCTCGACCCTAGAAAAATCCCTCCTCGAAAGGGAATCGTTATAGTATTGTACAGTGCACACAGTCACGCGCCACCGCGTACATCAGCGCCACGAGATGGAGAGGCGAGCTGCTTTTGTGCTGCTGGGGATGCTATATTTAGCGGGCACCCTCGTCACGGTCCAGGCAGGTGAGACTCATCCTCTCTTTCGGTTTCACCACCGTTCAGTCGTTCATTTATTCGTAACTCATTCTCCACTTTATCATTTATTTCTTCTCGCCGTTCTCCGCAAGGCTCGCGTTCGTCAAAAGCCTTCGCGACCATCCTTCGCGATTACATTATCTCAGAACCGAGATTCTTTCCCCGGTCCTGGAGAAGAAATTCTACGCGCTCTCTTCTCTTCGACGATGCAGCCTTCAAGACCGATCTAGGAACAAGAGAGGCTTGTTCACGGTTTAAATGGTCTCGCGAGTTTTCAGAAGTTTCTTTTCCCGAGTTATCGCGCTATCGGCTTCCATTTTCGAAACGATGTACGGCGGTATCGTTGTTGGCCGCCCGATCTCGAGCAATTTACGCTGGCATTGTGACGTAGCTGTCACATGGTACGCCGCACGCATTTTTCTCGCGCGCGCGTGCTAATTGGGAGCGGAGTTATTTTCCCAAATTTAGTACAGTTACGCGTGCGACGCGCCGACGTGTTTTCGTTAGCCGACGTCGCCGAACAAAAGTCGGCCTTCTGTAATATCTTATTTGTGCATTTGCTTCTCGTCGAGGCAGAGTCGACGGAGTCTTGACAGATTATGAAATTCTATTTTTAGTTTTGATTGTACCGCAACATGTTAGAGAACGTGCTCGCGGCCTCGGGGAACGTGAAACGCATGACACTATCAACTGTTTCCCGACATAGTTCTCGCCGCAAATCGTACCCGAAGAATAGTCAGTCACCGCTGCGAGGTGAAGTGCTTTAGATAGAGACGAAGAGATCTGGGATAACGATATATTCCAGCCTGACTCGATTATCGTTGTGCATATATAGTTCATGGCGTTCGATCCGCCGCGCGATACGTAGTACATACACTTAAAGCATCACGTGTTCTTCAACCAATCGACTTATCCGCACGTTCCTGTGATCGCCTCTCTGGAATCACTACGCAGGGTGCTTTCAAACGGTGCCGCAAATCGGCTGAATCCACGCGGAAGAACAAGTGTGGACAAATTAGAGAATATAATATTCAAAAGAATAATACTTGAATAATAAAATATTCAAATACTTCTAGACAGATTTCCAATGTTTCACGAGGTTCGATAATGTCGCTCTGCATTATCGACCTATCGTGCCATACGAATTCATCCCTGTTAGATTGTACAGTAATTCGAAGACACCCTTTATGTCATTGCTCCGCGTTGCCGATCCGAACCGTGGTTACTCGTGGTCTCGTATTAATTTTCGCCGAACTGTTCGACGCTTTTTGTTAATAATTCGCGTGTTCCGTTCACGCGTATCGAATATTATATTCGTCGGCTCCTCCGTAAAACAAGTTTCCAAGTTTTTGTAGGTTATTCCCGTGTCTGTCTTATTACGTCCCGATACATTATCATAGATACGCGGCTCGCGTGTGTCAATTGAGATATAACCCTGCTCCGGCACCCGAGAGTTGCGCACCCCTGGTTTATACAGACCCGAGACACCGGGATTCGCTCGCATTCGATGCTGAAGCCACATTCCGAGAGAGACGTACGTGAAGTACCCACGCCAAGCAACTTTTGTTACGTAACAATTGACCCTATTTTCCGTCCGCCTAGAAATCTTTCGGGGACTTTTAGTGATCGCTGCACAGAAGTTCGCCGCTGATCGGCACAATTACGTTGAACCGTGTGTTTTAACGGCACTGCGAGCGCCCGTCGAGTGGCTCCTTAGGCTGTTCCGCGAACGTGTTCACTTGACCGGATACGCTCGCATGGTGTACCTTTCAATTAGAAACATGGAAAGTCGACTAGTAATTATGCAAAAAACAATGTTGTCAGCGGGAAACGTACGTGTGGTGCAGACACTGTTTTTTTCTTTTTTTTCTGTACATGCGATCGCGGAGGAGATTATAAGGTCGCTCAACTTCTTCGAGCTCTCTTTGAAACTCGTGGGACGAATTTTCATACGTTTGCGTAACTGTTGCCGGACGGAGCGGACTTCGGGAAAATCTGTTCTTACGAAACAAATATAATATACATATAATATATAATTATATATATAATTATAATATATATATATATATATATATATATATATATATATATATATATATATATATATATATATATATAATAATATTATATAATATAATATATATAATATTTTATAATTATATTATATTATAATATATAAAATAATACATAATTATTATATATATAATTATAAATATAATATAATATACAGGGTGTCCCAAAAATGTCTCGCAATCCGAAAGTGGCGGGTCATTGAAGCAACTTATTCCTTAACAAAAATTTTCTCCGTGGCACCGTTGACGAGTTATTAACGAAAAACAGTGACCAACGAGAGGCGAGCTCGGCTGGCGCGCGGCGACCGTTGACGCGCGCTGGTTGGCTGGGCCGCCGCCTCGCGTCAGCCGTACTCGCCTCTCATTGGTCACCGTTTTTCGTCAATAACTCGTTAACGGTGCGTCGGAGAAAATTTTTGTAAAGGAAGAAGCTGCTTCAAATGATCCGAGGCATCCACCATTTCCGTATTACGAGACATTTTTGGGACACCCTGTATATTGAAAGAGGAGAACGCGCAGGCATTTAAAGAAAATCTTTTGTGCGCGTGCCGTGCATCGGGCAGCGGGAATGTGTCGCGTGAAGAGATCTCGACCGTTCGTCAGGATACTTATATTTAGAACCGAGTCTACGAATATCATTTCCATTTTATCCGCCGTCTCTCCATGGGTTCGGAGCGAAGGGTCGTGGCAAAGACCGCGCAAAAAAAGGACCGTTCGAATTTTCGTACGCGCGAAGAGACACACGGTGCTGCGCGCCCGGTTGTTCGTCATTTATCATCGCGCTTGCGATTGATTTTCTTTTTTTAAATATTATAACGTTACGACGGGCCCAGCACGCGCGCCGCTTATATATATTCTTAGCGGCGTGTTCCTTGTTTATTGAAATGTAAACTTAACCTCCATTCTCTAACACGGTGAATGTTTTCATCCGCTCTGTTTTGCCGTCGCTCGCAAACCAGACGAGAAGAGAATGCTTACGTTTAACCCTGGGAGCGCGCCGTCTATTTTTGGCCCTTCAGCGTGTGTACCATAGAATAACGCGACGATAGTAACGCTATGCAAATTGTAAATATACCCGATCGCGTCGGTCTTTTTTTTCTTCTATTTTTCTTTCGCGTTAAATCTTATTGACACGTTTCTCTGCGAGCAATATTTTAAGCATCCGCTTCGTACAGCCGCCGCGGGACTCGGTACATACATACATACGTACATATATACGTACATATTTATGCAATTAGAATGCAAACGTTCACGCTTATAGGATAAAGGTTTATTTTTAAAATCGCGATAGGGGGACAAAAATACACCGGGGCTAGGTCAGTCTATGTTCCGCATAGGCGGCGGACTACGACGATTCAACCCTTACCTGTCGATTGAAATGCGCACGTTTTTTTTTTTTTACAGCATTCGCCTTCCGATGACGTAACGATGTAACGCGCGCGACGATCAATTCGAATCAGTTCGAATACGAGCTTATTGTTCGAACCGTTTGAATTAATGCGATTATCATCGAGAGCCGAGGCTGCCTATAACATTTAATTGCGAACGTTCGGATACAATTTGAAAGTCGAACGCCGAAATATTAGGGGGACCGGAAAGTAATGTCGTTTCTGCGCATATTTATCTGTTTGAATTTAATGTAAACAAACGACATTACTTTCCGGTCCCCCTAATAATTACAGTAATGTCTACCTAATTGACGCTCAGATTGTGCAGAAAAATGGACGATGGTGGGAACAGAAGATACGATCATTCCGGGTTTTGCAACATGTTTTTATAATCGTTGACAATCGGTAACTGTAAAAACAAGTCGTGAGGCTCGAATTCAGTCGTAAGGCCCGAATTGTCCATTTTTGTGGGCAATCTGAGCGTCGATTAGGGAGACATTACTGTACATCACCAGTCGCTGCAGTGACGCCATTCGACATTTAGGGGTTGGTAATATCAACCCTTAACGGTCCAATGGCGCCATGCACGCGGCGGAAATCGATAAAACCGTAAAATCTGGCAGAGAACATTGGAAGAATAGGCACTATTGTTTTGTGTTGATTTTTGAAGTTTTATTTAAAAAAATATGAACATCTCTTCTCTATATTTAATAGAAAAATTTTCAGTAAAAGATTTCTCTTCGTCTGAAAAATAGTCTAGACTTGGCAGTGTGTGTAAACTGGAAATAAATAGTTTTCGGCCCCCTAAGGGTCAATTTAGCGATCCAAGGATTAAGCTAGCCGGACGATGCTGTGCTTCCAAGGTCGGCTTTTGGAAATTTCGGTGCCGTCTCGGCGACTGGCTCGGGGACAAACGTAAATATCCGTCGGCATCTACGAGCGTATTGTTCGAGATAGCGGCGCACGACCGCGCCGATCGATTCCGAATACATACACACACATACATACATACATACATACGTTTTTCGCCAAGTCCGTTATGCTATCCTCCCCGTGCGATGCGAAGACACGAACGGTTTCGTGTGCTTCGATCGGGTCTGGCAAAGCTGGCTTTCTTACACGTTATCCTGCCGATACACATGCGGCGCTAGCGACCCCTCGGCCCGACAAACTAGGCCAACGGGTTTTCTTCGCGAATTTCGGCTCTATCGGCTCCGCGAGAATTACTTTACGCATCACCGAAATAAATTCATTAGAGTATCTTTAGTTGATTGCATAACGCCGGACACCGGCCGAACCGGCTGAAACTTTTGTCCGCCTTTCTGTATTCTAGGTCTCGGCTAGGTCTAGGTTAGAACTGGTTTCGAGCCGCGGGTACTACCAGTATGCAGATAGCCGGTACTCAATGGGCGGGTTTGTTCTTCGATTAATCGCGTCGTGTCCGCTCTTTATTAGCAACCGAGCGGTTTCAGCCCGACTGAAATATTTATATCGGGCGGTCGCGGTCTTCGTGGTACCGGCGGGGTGG